TACAATTATTCTTAGGTATAAATTTGACTGAAAAGTGGTCCTTGTTAAATATAAGAGTAGAAATAAGAGAGGGAGGAGATGTACAGTTCAGCATATCCTCACTCGGACTTACCCCTAATGGTAGAGCTAAAAACATACCAGGGGATTCCAAATCAATCCCATCAAGTTGGCATGCACCAATGCCATCTTCCTAGTCAACGTGATTACTTTAAGTTCATAATTGATCGTAATGATAGTATTAAGTGTCGAGAAACTCTGCAAGATATAGGTACCTGCAATGACTTCTTGGAAAACACCCCAGAAGCACAGGCAGTCAAAGCCAAAATTAACATTTGGGATTGCATCAAATTGGGAAGTTTCTGTACTGCAAAATAAACAGTCAGGAAAGTGAAGAGCCAACTGACAGAATGGGAACAAATATTCACAAACTATGCAACAGATAAAGGATTGATAACCAGAATCTACAAAGAAATCAAGAAACTCCACAACATCAAAACAAACAACCCACTTAAGAGATGGGCCAAGGACCTCAATAGATATTTTTCAAAAGAGGAAATCCAAAGGGCCAACAGACACATGAAAAAATGTGCAAGATCACTAGCAATCAGGGAAATGCCAATCAAAACCACAATGAGGTTTCTCCTCACCCCGGGTAGAATCGCTCACATTCAGAAATCTACCAACAATAGATGCTGGAGAGGATGTGGGGAAAAAGGGACACTAATCCACTGTTGGTGGGAATGCAAACTGGTTAAGCCCCTATGGACATCAGTCTGGAGATTCCTCAGAAAACGGAATATAACCCTACCATTCAACCCAGCCATACCACTCCTTGGAATTTACCCAAAGGAAATGAAATTGGCAAACAAACAAGCTGTCTGCACATTAATGTTTAGTGCAGCTCAATTCACAATAGCTAAGACCTGGAAACAACCCAAATGCCCAACAACAGTAGACTGGATAAAGAAATTGTGGGACATGTACTCTATAGAATACTATACAGCAGTCAAAAACAATGAAATCTGGTCATTTGTAACAAGATGGAGGAATCTGGAAAACATTATGTTGAGTGAATTAAGCCAGTCCCAAAGGGACAAATATGATATGTTCTCCCTGATCCACAACAACTAACTGAGCACCAAAGGGGAAACCTGTTGAAGTGAAATGGACACTATGAGAAACAGTGACTTGATCAGCTCTTGTTCTGATTGTTGATGTACAATGTAATACTTTTTCTATTTTAGTATTTTCTCTTTGTTTTGTTCTAGTACTATTGGTTGAACTCTGTGATTAACACACAATTATTCTTAGGTGTTTAAATTTTAACTGAAAAGTGATCCCTGTTAAATATAAGAGTGGGTTAAGAGAGGGAGGAGATGTACAATTTGGGACATGCTCAATCGGACTTGCACAAAATGGTAGAGTTAGAATCATGCCAGGGGATCCCAATACAATCCCATCAAGGTGGCATGTACCAATGCCATCTCACTATTCCAAGTGATCAATTTCAGTTCACAATTGATCACAATGATAGGTCTAAGAGTCAAAGGGATCACACAAACAAGACTAGTGTCTGCTAATACTAGCTGATAGAATCAAAAAGGGAGAGAACAATCCATCATGGGAAGCGGGATACACAATAGACTCATAGAATGGCAGATGTCCTAAATAGCACTCTGGCCTCAGAATCAGCCCTTAAGGCATTCGTATCTGGCTGAAGAGCCCATGAGAGTATTGCAGGCATGGAAAGCCAAGACACCCTGGAAAAAAAAAGAAGACCTAAATGGAAGATCTCTGCGAGTGAGATCCCAGTGGAAAGAACGGGGCCATCAAAGAAGGAGGTACCTTTCTCTGAAGGGAGGAGAGAACTTCCCCTTTGACTATGACCCTGTCTAAATAAGATCAAAGTTGGCGAACTCTAAAGGCTTCCATAGCCTTGGCAACTCGTGACTAGAGCCTAGGGAGATTACAGACGCCATAAACAAGAGTGTCAATTTGTTAAGTCAACAACAGGAGTAACTGTGTACTTACTTCTCATGTGGGATCTGTACTTAATATGTTGTCCAATGTGAAGTAATGCTACAACTAATACTGAAACAGTATTTTACACTTTGTGTTTCTGTTTGGGTGCAAACTGAAGAAATCTTTACTTAATATATACTGAATTGATCTTCTGTATATATAGATAATTGAAAATGAATCTTTATATGAATGGAATGGGAGAGGGAGTGGGAGATGGGAGGGATGTGAGTGGGAGGGAAATTATGGGGGGGCATTGTAATCCATTAACTGTACTTTGAAAATTTATATTTGCTAAATAAAAATAATAAAAAATAAAAGAAAAAATGACAGTATTAAGTGTCAAAGGAATCACATAAACAAGACTAGTGTCTACTAATAATAACTGATAGAATTAAAGAGGAGGGAACATTCCAACATGGGAATTGGGATACACAGCAGATGCCCTAAACAGCACTCTGGCCTCAGAATCAGCCCTTAAGTCATTTGGATCTTGCTCAAAAGCCCATGAGAGTTTCTCAGGCATGGAAAGCCAAGACACTGTGGCAAAAAAAATGAGCTAAATAAACGATCTTTATGAGTGAGATCCCAGTGGAAAGAACGGGCCATCAAAGAAGGAGGTGTCTTTCTCTGAAGCGAGGAGAGAACTTCCACTTTGATTATGGCCCTCTCTAAATAAGGTCAGAGTTTGTGAACTCAGGAGGCTTCCATAGCCTTGGCAGCTCATTATAAGGGCCTCAGGTGATTACTGACTTCATAAATAAGTGTGTCAATTGTTAAATCATCAATGGGAGTCACTGTGCACTTCCTCCCCATGTATGATCTCTGTCCTTAATGTGTTGTACTATGCGAATTAACGGTAAAACCAATATTCAAGCAGTACTTTATACTTTGGTTATCTGTGTGGGTGCAAAGTGTTGAAATCTTTACTTAGTATATATTAAGTTGATCTTCTGTATATAAAGATAATTGAAAATGAATCTTGATGAAGAATTGAATGGGAGAGGGAGTGGGAGATGGGATGGTTGTGCGTGGGAGGGAGGTTATGGGGGGAAAAGCTGCTATAACTTTTATTTAATGAATATAAATTTCCAAAGTACGATTTATGGATTACAATGGCTTCCCCCCCATACCGTCCCTCCCACCCACAACCTCCCCTTTCCCACTCCCTCTCCCCTTCCATTCACATCAACATTCATTTTCGATTATCTTAATATACAGAAGATCAGCTTAGTATACATTAAGTAAGGATTTCAACAGTTTGCTGTACTTTTGAAATTTATATTTATTAAATGTTTTTTTAAAAAAGAAAGGCAGCCAAGAAATGAGCACTGATTGAATCTGTTTTCCTAGTGTCCACCCAGTGGGAAGGAACAACCAGCTGAGTCCATTACACTTTTACACTTATGGATTTCACCACAGCCCCCCCACCTCCAGTTGAGCCCATAGGTCCTAGGGACAGATGACTGAAGGGTTGCTGGGCTCTAATAATATAAATTTGCCAACACATGTGGAATCCATACAGTCTCATCTCTGACCAGAATGATGTGACTCATCTTTTTAATAGTTGATAGCAATGTCCTTGGGTGAAAATAGATGCACGAATATTCACACAAGGTGAAATTGGGTGGCAGGCCATCTTGAGAGTAAACAAGCTTCTGCTCTTTACTATTCCTTAGGCTGTATTTTCACAGGACTTGCTTTGAACACTGGGTTGCTGCAAAGGCACTTACTGGAGTGGGGGCCCAGGAAAGAGTTGGGGTGACTAGTCAGTGAGGAAAGCACACAAAAAATTTTAATTGGCATTCAAATTGTTTTCTTTTCCAGATTAAAAAATTACATGTTTTTTACATTGCTACCCACACCTGCATGAGAGGAAGGGTAACTATTATTGTCCACTTTAGAGATGAAAGGAAGATTCAGAAAGATAAAGCCATCTATCCAAAGTCACAGAAGTGACAAATGGTGATACTAGACAGGGATTCATTCCTATGATTCCTGTTCTTGAAATACCATATTGCCCTATGATGCCAACACCTAGGGTAGTAGGTAGATACATATTTTTTTTTGTTTTGCTTTGGTTTTTTCCTTTGGATTTGTTACTTCAGTGGAGGTGATAGGCACTTTTTCAATTTTGTTCTGCCTCCAGGCCATTCCCATATATCAATTCACTCCCATAAGTAACATTTCCCACAATATGCCACCATTTCCAAACATCTCTCCCTCTCCCCACCCCATATCTCATCCCCCTATTATAAGCCACTGTCTCCATAATTATGGTACATCAACAGTATATTGGGAGATAGCAGAGAAGTTAAAACCCCAGAAAGCAGAAAGCAGAAATGTGAAGATTTAGGGTATGGTTCTTGAACAGAAAAAGTTCCTTAAAGAAGGTGATGGGCCCTCATCCAAAATTCAAAAGGAACTTAGAAGGGCTGGTGCTATGACGTAGTGGGTAAAGCTGCTGCCTGTGGTGTGGGTGTCAGTCTGAGTCCCAGCTGCTGCACTTTCAGCTCTCTGCTATGGCCTGAAAAAGCAATAGGAGATGGTGCAAGTCCTTGGGACCCCGCACCCATATGGGAGAACCAAAAGAAACTCCAGGCTCCTGGCTTCAGATTGGCCCATCTCTGGCTGTTGCAGCCATTTGGGCAGTGAACTAGTGGATGGAAGACCTTTCTCTCTCTCTCTGCCTCTGCCTCTCTAACTCCACCTTTCAAATAAATAAATAAATCTTTAAAAAATAAATAAAGGAACATAGAGAAGGATGTAGGAATAGGATGAAGGCTTCTTGATATTAGATGATGCACAAGAGGACAGGCAAGAGATGAGACAGGTAGTATAAGGAAAAAAAGTCTCAAAGTTGACTGCAAGGATTTCCCATAATGATACTCCTTGAAACAGGAGGTATCTTACTACAAACAGATTAAGCAGATAGATTACTTCTTTATAAGAAGGCACAGAAATGAAGGTTTTAAACTCACCCGCAAGATTTCTTCAACACAGCTTGGATCACTGGGAATGCTTACCTAAAACAAAATAAATACAAAAAATTTAAAAACAATCTAGTTATTTCCAGAGAAGATTATTCTATAAAGGATTACACTGTGTGAAAAATTTTAAAGAAGGAAAAAAATGTGGCCATCAACACTTTTCTCTATTAAATTAAAAGCAGTAACTATCTGAATGGCCAAGTTGGCTTTACCTTAATGAAGCAGTAAGAATGTGGAACAGGGAGCAGAAAGAAAATGATTCCTTATTCTTTCACTTATTAGTTGTAGGACACTCAGTCATACTCCTTCCCCATGGGCTTTTTTTTTTTTTTTGGCTCATCTATCCAAAAAGGGAGTTTGACCTTGTAATTTTTAAGGATGTTTCAACCTTCTGACATGGTTTAGCAAATTATTCAGTAAAAAACATGAGACCAATGTAAAACACTTCTATGATTCAACTGAGTTCTCTTTGAACTTGGGAGTCCAACCAGATGCCTACAAATCTTATTCTAAACATCAAGGCTGAAATCCTGTGTAAATTGCATGCCTGATTTGGCACTTAGGAAGAGTCTCAGAAACACCATGTGAATTTCATGAGCCATCTTTTGTAATTTGACACTTTCCTAGTCAATCAAAATTCAAGTCGATATCAGAAATGTACTGAGGGTTTAATCCATGTCAGGCACATGGCCCTTTCCTCCAAGGGCTCCAGAGTCAGTGAGGGCAAAAAGCTAAATGTCAGTGTGAGATACCTGCTACAAAACAGTGCATGATGAAGGACTTGAGAGTGGGACAACCACCTGGAGAAATGTCTGTGGTCTGAACATTTCCTGTGCGGGTTATGAGCATACCCTAAATGTCCCTAAGTATTCCCCTCACACCTGCATTCTCTCCAGGATTGCAATCTGATCACTTCCATAATTCTCCTGTTTTGGTAAGAAGAAAGATGGGTCCCTTTCACTCACTGCCTTAGGAGACAAAAGGGAACACTGCTACAGCATCTCTATTTCTCAGGTCTTGTAATCTATTTCTGATAGATTGCAGTATGAACACAACTATATATGGGGAAAGGGTGAATAGATTAGGGCACCTGATTTCTTCAGCTTCAAAAGGTACATGTTAAAAAATGCAGCAAATTGGCCAGCGCCGGGGCTCACTAGGCTAATCCTCCACCTGCGGCACTGGCACCCCGAAATCTAGTCCCAGTCGGGGCGCTGGATTCTGTCCCGGTTGCTCCTCTTCCAGTCCAGCTCTCTGCTGTAGCCCGGGAGTGCAGTGGAGGATAGCCCAGGTCCTTGGGCCCTTCACCTGCATGGGAGACGAGGAAGTACATGGCTCCTGGCTTCGGATCAGCGCAGCGCGCACTGGCTGCAATGTGCCGGCCGTAGCGGGCTGAACCGGGATGAACCAACGGAAAAAGGAAGACCTCTCTCTCTCTCTATCTCTCTCTCTCTCTCACTAACTCTGCCTCTCCAAAAAATATAAATAAATAAAAAAACGCAACAAATCTTCAATTCACAGGAAACGACTTTACACACATTATTTTCAACCAGTATTTAATGAATACCTTCTATATTTAAGAGTCTCTCCTCCAGGGAGCATTAAATTGCAAGTATGGGAGGCAGGCTGAGACAGAGTCATGGATAATGAGGAATGATCCATCCTGGGTTACTTAGTATGCTTCCAGTTTACACTTGGTATCCAGGCACATTTATTGATAGAATCCCCTTTCATACTCAAATATTTCTCAGTTTCAATGACTTGCTATACAATTACCCTTCCCATAACAATAATACGCTAAAATATTGGGTAGAAGAAGCAGTAGAAAAAAAGGCCCAAAAAGCTAGTTAGGCCTACATTGTAAAGAACCTGATAGGGAACCATGAGTGATTTGGGCTACCACATTTCATTCATTCATTCAACAACAGATCTAAGAACTGTTCTACCATGCTGGCGCTAGGCAGATATACAATGGAAAACAAAAGGAGACATAGTTTCCTCCCTCATGTAATTGTAGACTAAATGGGAAGGCATATATGTAAAACACAAATCACATATCTAATGCATAGCTATAACTGTGTTAAGAGCTACAAAGGACATCATCCCGTGGAAACTAGTTCTGCAAAATAAGAGATTCTGTATCCAGCTAAGTGCAATCCAGATCTTGCTCGAAGTGATCCATGATGCAAATCAAAGGCTGTGTGACACCCATCACATTATTTTAATACAGCACAGTACCAACTTTCTTGACCCTTAAATTCTTGGGTTTTTAGTTACAGTTCAATTTTAATTTTTTTTTCAATTAACAAACATCACTATTCCATAGAAGGACTATTTGTACACCATATACTAGAAGACACTCCTCTAATATATAACAAGATTATAGAACTCAACTGGTAATTATTTACAGCAAGTACAATGTCACTCTATTGTTCAATGTTGGAGCAACTGTATTTTTCAAGACAGTTTTTGAACTTCTAACAAATATCTTTCCTAAACACAAAGGTCAAAAAGATTGTAACAAAGGCTTAAATCTTCAATATGACAGTTGCATTGCATGAATGTAGGCTGCTCAGGGTTAAAAAATGTATGGCCCAGTCTCTTGAAAATGTCTTTTTCTCTTTTTTTCCATACAAACCCATCAAATATTAATTTTTACATTAAAGATGGAAAAATAACAGTGGTATGCAGACATTGTAAAAGCACTTGCCTATGATTCAAAACAATTGTGTGTGAGTCCTGGCCCTATAACTTGAGAACAGAACTTAGTAACTTTACCCATGTGTTCCAGTTTTTCCAACTGTAAAATAAGATAAAATAAAATAAAATGCCTCTTTGGTTCAGCTCTCACAGGATTTCTGTAAGCATCACACATTGTCACTCTCTTACTCCTTGTCCTCTTGTTTTCATTACTTCTATTATTAAAAGTTTGGTCTTCTTGTCTTTTCAAGCTGAGCTCTGACTCACTCTTGCCAACTGCAAATATCATCTCTACACCTGGAACTATAAATGGCCATTTCCATATGGGAGGAAATGCTGTCAAAATAGAAAGAATCGTGTTCCCTGGGGCTTTGTAGAAAATCTAATAATGACTATCAGAGTTGGTAGCACTGAGGAGAACTCTACAGATAAGAGAAGTCAAATCAATATGCATCTGCATCTAGTGTTCTGATAGTTTTTTTAATGGAAATTAAATTTTATTACGGATTACAATAGTTCTGTGAATTGTATAATAAATGCAAACACTGATATATTTTTTTTTAAATACTGGAATCCAACATTCACATTCAGTCAGTAGTTCGGCAAAAGCATCTAGTTCAGCTCCACAGCTGTTTTCTCCGTGAAACAACTACTTAGGAACAGAGAATACTTTCTCTGCTTCCTGAAAGTGTTTCTTAATGGATCAGCAATCATTTCCTCTGTGCCTAGAACAGTGTTGGGCATGGAGAAGTTGGTAAGACAAATAACTTCCAGACCTGGCCCCTTTCTTTCAGTTAAAATGTCTAGATGGGACAGGAAAACAAACAATTAGAGACCCAATGGGACATACATTGTAAGGTAGTCCTGACAAGGGTAATAGGATCCTAATCATTCTCCCAGTCTGCCTATTCATCAGTTCTCCCATTTATTTCTTTAGACAACAAATCCTGATTGAACTCACACTGTGCTCAGGATGGTGCCAAGGAGGATTCAGACACTGAAGATAGCATAATTTCTGCCTTCAGGACTCCACGCAAATGGGGCAGGAGGAAGTCACTTACTGGGGAAACAGACAATACCAAACAGGAGATCTGATTTAGGTGGCAGGAAAATGATACCTACCAGCTTCACGGACAGAGCCATGTCCCATAGAAGCTCCCAGTCAGCAAGGGCCCCACTGTAGTCTTCATTCCATATGAAAGTGAGAGGCCAAGGATTCGACATGGTTGACAAGTTGCTGGACCACCTGAAGCCACTTCAGTCTCTGAGCCCCTTGCTGCATGGTGCTAAGAGTTACTGTGCACTGGAAGCAACCTGTGCTATGGCTGAGGTTTGGCCTCAAAGTTTGACCTCTTACAATCTCCTTCCCTCTCACGCACACATACCCACACCTCTTGCAATCATTCTGTAGGAGCCATTCACACAGGTGTGAATGAAAGAAACTGAGGCCCTGGGATTAGGACTGTTGCCTCTTGAGCTTCCAAGCTGCCACTTAATTCTCCAGCCACTTTCTCCTCTCTATAAATCCACGTTTGAGTATTCAGATAGTCCACAAAGCACAAGTTAGGCACTTAGAGGCACAGTTTCCTTTCAAATTTCCCCTCTCCCTTCCTACTCTTGGAGTAGAAAGCAAGCTGTGTAATGCACAGGGGAGGCTGTGCTCTCACTCCTAGCCCTAGACTGGGCACAGAGGTGGTCCTATGAGGGCCAGAGAAGGGAGGCACACATCAGGCAGGTGGTGAGTTGACAGAGCCCTCATAAGCATACTCTCTCTGCATCTGATGGTGCAGTCTGCCACCCCATGAAACTACCAGAAAGACCATATACAGATCATCGGAAATGATTAACACACATCTTAAAAAAAATCAGGGTACCTTTAAATCATCAAATATTCAGTCAACTGCAGCAACAATAAATGACTTTCATAGGATGCTATCATCATTCTGAAATTAGCTTAGAGCATACTTCTTAGCAATTAGGGCAACACAAGATATCAAAAATATCCTAATTGTGGCATTGAGACATAAGCATTAATGTAAAACATAGAGATTAATGTAAACATTAAAAAAAGATCATTGCATGGTTAACTCAGAGGAGCTCAATGAATTCCTATGGGTACATTGCTACTAAGGATGTCATTTTTAAATCTAAACTCATTCCGAGGTCATCTCACAAAACCTGACAATCAAAGCCTGGTATCCTAGGTGTATTCCATCTTGACAAAGAATTCTCAAAGTAAAACTTAAATATTGCAAGTTTAATGGCAAATCAAATAACTGGGCCTAGTTAAGCAATATCAACTAACACCTATGGTAACTTCCAAGCTAATTCCATTT